TTAATTAATTAGGAGTATAGAATTTAAACATTTTCTTATCTATTAAGTTCCAAAAAAAAAAAAACACGTTAATTCTTTATTTAATCAATTTTAAATTTACACTTTTCTTTAGTACTTCTTTTATTTTCTCTCTTAATATTCTATATAATAATTTAAAGTTTTTAATACATTTTTCTTTTTTAATTCATTCTTCAATTGATTATTATATGATTTATTGTCATAATATTTTGTTTTTTTATTACAATAAACACATTTATTTTTAATTATTGTTAAGAATATATCAATAAAAAAAAATCACAAGTAAATCTTTTTGTAAGAGAAATAAGATACCTGGCTCCATCCCTAAACATGGGGGTATGCATCATCCACTAGACCCAAGCCTGAAAGGTTGGATCCGCTTTATTTTTTAATATTCGAGTCTTGGTTTCAACAACGAAAAGAGTTTAATTTCTTCAAATAAATTTCTTCAAAGGCGTTAATGTAGAATGTATGTAAAGATTAGTATTTAGGGGGTTAATCTCAACAAGTGAGCAAGCTTGAAATACCAGGACCATCTAAACCAAAAACAAAATACACCATAATCAAACTAACTTTGAGTCCTTTATAAATGCTTTAACAAGATTACAAGAAGTTCGAAACTATGAATCAAGTAACTGGGCGGATAGTTTGATGGACTTGGACTCCAAATTTAAGTCTAGCATCGGGCCCGAAAAGAGAATCCAAAGTGCAATTTCGACCCGGCCCTGGGCCAATCTAAAATCAGCCTTCTCGATCCATTGTTGTCCAGACAGTTTCCATGGCAAAAACCCTTAGAATGCCCGCCAACTTGTCAAGTTTTGATGGTTATATATATATATATATATATATATATATATATAAAATCAAATAACTTGAACCAAAACTTGTTATTAGGCTAGCAACTTTTTGGGCAAGAGATCACTGCTCTCTTAAAAGCTCAAGTTAAAATTATTACTAGTGATTGATTTCACATTTATATACCACTTACAATTATAACACTTCTTTTGATATGAGATTGGGATGTTATAAAGAATATATGTATAATACTAGATTATTGAAATGTAAAATGATTAACAGACGTTTGGTTCAATATACTTTTACATACTTGTCTCATTTTAATTATTAAAATATGATATAAGTGTAGCTAATTCAATTAATTTTTATATTTAGGATGCATGACTATAATTTTTTTTTTATGAATATGCATGATTATATTTTTAAATCTATCCACTTTTAATTTTAAATTAAAAAAATAATTTTTTAATAAATATGTTATGTAATATATTAAATCAAAATGTATATCATTAATTATCCGAAAAGGAATATAGTTCCCCGGCTGCAGATAAAAAAACCATTACTTTTACGTTAAAGTTCAGAAAAAATTAAAGAAGACAATGGGGAGAGAGGTACGTGTTTGGTAATTTCTATTGAAAAATCCCACCAAAGGGCAATCTGAATATGGAATCTGTGCTGCGTCTGTGTGGACCATGTGGGTCAAATGTTGAAACTGTCAATCATTTGTTGTTTTGCTGTTTAAAAAAAAAAAAATCATTTGTTGTTAAACTGCCAAGTAATTTAGAACTTCGATAATGAGAAGAATAGAGTCAATACTACTTATCTCTCTTCTATATTGCTTTCTCATAGAGTTAACTGGAGGTAATATTGTAAATTTTTTAGGATTTAAGAATTTTTTGGTTGAGTTAATTGCAATTAATGTAATTTTTATAAATTTTTTTGTTTATTTTATGTTTATATATAAAAAAATTCTGTCTCTTGTGCAGTGGATTTGTTGTTATATATTTTACTTTTTTTATCTGCGTAGAAAAGAATGTTTCTTTTTCTTTTTTTGTTTTTACGATTATATTTGGTGTAATTAATTTTTTTACTTTATATCGTTTTGCATTTTTATGTTTCTTTTGTCTTTTTCTAATTATAATTTTTTACTTTGTATATTTATGTGGAAAAATATCTATTTAGATTTATCATGGAATAATCTTGCTTTTACATATTCTTGTCACATAACAGATATTAAAAGACTTCTTGAACCATAATTTGGTCTAGGGACACACCTAAACATTAAAATAAAATAAAATAAAAAACTCTTGAACCTATTAACTAATTATTTAGTATAATATTTTTTTTATGTATTTTATTTTATTGTTTACTTTTAACAATAATTTCTTTTAAAAAGAAATACAGATACATTCTAACAAGTGGAACAACAGGTTAGATAATGCTAATAAATGTTTAAAGGATTTTTCTAAGTACAGATTAAAAGTATAATTATTACATTTTTTTCTTATTAATTATTATTAAAAAAATAAAAATTAATCTCCATTTAAATGACTATTTAACTAAAATAGTTCATGTGACACTAATAATGAAATCAATAACAGTTTTTGTATTTTTTAATAATAATTAACATAAAAAAATAATAATTGTACTCTTAATGCACAAGTTAGACCTATAATGGAACCTTTCTGTAATTTGTGCAATATTAAAGAGAGTCCTTTGCAAAGGCTCTGGATGCATTATTCTTTTTTCAGCATTCTGGAGCATTATTCTTCATTTTTTGAAAATGATGATTAGTGAATTTTATCAGAGTAATAAAACCACGAAATATATATGAATTATGAACACGAAATCATAAGAAAAAATGGGTTGAGAAATGGAGAAAATGTGCAAATATATAAGGATGTTAATTTTATTTTTTATTTAAAAATATTAATTTGTTAATTTTTAAATATGGATGTCAATTTTTGATTTTTTTATTTAAAAATATCAACTTTTAATTGTTTATATTTAAAGATACCAACTTTCAATATTTTAATTAAAAAATTCAATTATTATGTTAACATTATCATTTAATTAATCTTTAAATAAAAAAATTAAAAATTAATATTTTTAAATAAAAAATAAAAATTGATATTTTTAAATAAAAAAAATTTTAAATTAATGTTTTTAAATAAAAAGTATAAAATTAACATTTTTATTTACACATTTTTTTCTTGAGACATGGCAAAAGTCACTCCTATTAAGATGATTAATGTCTATGCAGGAGTTTTAGTTATCTGATGCAACAGGAATGCTATCACAAGCATTTGGCTGTCATGATATAACAGCTCAACAAACACACTCTATGAATATAAACTATCCATAAAGCAATATATCTAATGACACCTTTTTTGGCCCTAGTTTATGTTTATAATAGAGAATGCAAGAATATAATAGCAAGGATAAGAATATGAATATGTACTACTGTACAATTAAGGTAAAATATCAATTTTGGTCCCTCAACTTTAAGGTTTTATTTAGTCTTTGTCCTTAAATTTTTTTATGTAGTTTTTTAATCCTTTAATTATAAAAATACACTTTTTTAACCCTATTAATTAATTCTTTAAGTTTATCAAAATATGCACATTTTTAGTTCTTAAACTTTTTAGTGGATGAATAAAAAATATACATATATTATAAATTAAAAGATTAAAAATATATATATTTGGATGACCTTAATGAATTAATTAACGAAAGAACTAAAAATATATATATTTTTTCAATTGAAAGACAAAAAAAGCATATAAAAAAATTAAGAGACAAAAATTATACAAAATTTTAAAATTAAGAGGTCAAAATTTAACATTTAACCTACTATTAAAGTGCAGCAAATATATAGAGGTAGGATGAACATAATCTAAAAATACCATTTATCAGCATATTAATGTTCATATTAGTACTACAAACGGTAACAAACGGCTAAGATTTCTTGCTGCCATCAAAGCCTAATTAAGCCATATTTATGGCTATTCCGCGCCTTAGTTCAAGGTTTTATTATCTCCAATAATTATTCGAATTTAATACCTGCAGAGGCCGAAGTTAGTAAATGCAATTTAATATTTTTATTAACTAACCTCATCTATATATTTTTGCAACTAAAACTTACAATCTTTTATTTTCACTTAAAAAAAGTTTATCATGAAACTATTTAAATTATTCACAATAATTGTTATTTATGAGAAATAGGATGAATTGTACCGGGGGCGACGAAAGGGAAGCTCTATATATTGAATATGGGTTACCTTGTGTTCTAATTGTCTTCTAGGCTGGAATTCATTGTAGTTAAAGATTTTTTTAAATTAAAGAATAACTCATGTTATTTTTAATCGTGTTCCCTTTATCTTTTATTGTCTTTTAGTTATTGAAATCATGATCGGTTTCGTTTAGCAACATTTTTTTATATTTTATATTTTAGTTTTTATATTTTTTTATTTTAAAAATATATAAAATATTAATTAAAAAAATATTAAATATAAATATATGTTACATATTTTAAGGTATTAAAAGACAAAAAAAACTATAGTTGCAATTACATGTCAACGTTATCGAAGTAAATTTTAATTTATATTCTTCTTACTTAAAATAACTGTGATTTTTTAATTTTTTAAATTAAAAATTTAATAACAATTTATTTGTTAGTTTATATTATTTGAAAAAAATATTGACCGACTTTTTATAATAGTATCATTAATTAAATTAAATAAAAAAAGAAATAAAAGATAATAACAGATTTTTTATGGTAGTATTATTAATTAAAATAAAGGGAAATGGTTCTTGTATAACATTTTTATATCACCTTTTTGTACAACTTGACGTGTTATTAAAATGAGTAGTTCTTTTAATTCATATGGAACTCATAATATTAAATGCATCCACTCATTTAATGATATGTAAAAGTTGTATAAAAAGATTTTGTTCCATAACATCACCCTAAAATAAAAGATAATGACAAACTTTTTATGACAGTTCATTAATTAAAATAAATTGATGAATGGAACTTTTGGATCAAATGATTCCTCCCAACCTTTAAGTGCTTAGATTTAATTGATCGAAAGTTCAACTTTCACCAACATCTTGAAAAAATATTTCTCTCATCCCTCAAATTCTCCAATATTTAAAAATAAATAAATAAATAAATAACAATAACATTAAATAAAAAATATTTATTTATCTTAAAAAAAATACAAACATGTTTTTCATGAGCCTCCTGTAGAACATCATTCCATCCATATTTATCCAAGATGAATATTGAAATCATCGGAACTCCAAAACCCACTTTCCATCCATGCTTATCCAGCATCTCAGACATTGCTGTGAAAGCAATTATAATGGTGAGGAAGTATGCCGCAAAGTAGAACATGAAATATCTCTCTACCCTCTCACTTCTGAATTTTTTATTCCTTGGATTTGATCTGCTCCGAACGCGATGGAAGTGAAGCGAATAGAAGACTCAATTCTGCTGTTGTTGGGGATATGCAGCATTGAGTTAAAGGATTGCAATGGATCCAATATTTTGGTTTTGGAATATATTATGGCTGTTAACATAAAAGAAACAACCCCCATGTACAATTCAAAATTCAGCATCATTCCTTTCAGGTTGTTGAGCATCCCGTAGAACCTTGCTTTTTGCTTTGCCTCTTCTTTCTCCCTTGATTTTCTTTTTTCTTTCAAGTTTTTGAGCATCTTGTAGAACTTGCTTCTTGCTTTGCCTCTTTTTTCTTGATTTTCTGTTTTTCACCTTCTCCTCGTTGCTGCCCCATTTCCAATATATATATATATATATATCCTTTCTCTTGACTTGTTCCTAATTTAATCTCCTAACTTTTCTCTTAACTCCTAATTTAATCTTCCTAGCTTTTCTCTTGACTCCTAATTTAATGTTCCTAACTTTTCTCCTGATTGACCTTTTCCTAAGGAAATTTGTTGGAATGAAGCATTCCAAATAAGGAATCTGGTGCTAGTGCTTTGTGGACCACGTGGTGGCGGGATACTGGTCCAACACCACGTAGTCGGCCTTAAGCCCAAGTCTTGGCTTAGACCAGAAAGAAACCGTGGCATATAGGCCATTTGTCGAATGACAAGTGGTTCAATTGGAAGATTCTACATGACATTGGTGTTATAAATTAAGAGATAGTACTATAGGGATAATTTTTTTATCTCATTTTTTTATACAATTTTTATATGTTTTTAAATGAGTAAATGTATTCAATATCATGAGTTTCGTATGAATTAAAAAAATCAATTATTTTAATGACACATCAAATTGTATAAAAAGATAAGACAAAATAGTTGTTCTAATAACATTTTCCTAAATTGAGTTATAAATACTCATTAACTATTCAATTGAAAGTAATTACTCTTTCCTTAATTCTCTATATTCTCTAATTGACAGTTTCTCTCTAGAGTTCATAGATTAATGTTGACTTCAGTGATAAGTGTCTTTGAGAAAACATTCTTGCGCTTTGTAGGTCATCAAAGACAATATAACCTTGTATTATTAGTTGTATTATTAGTCAAATACAATAATACACTTATGACACTTAAGACTTTCTATTATTAGTTGTATTATTAGTTAAATACATTAATATACCTATGATACTCAAAAAAAATTCTTCAAAATTAAAATTTTTTTATTATCTTCACGATATCAAAAAATGATTTTTTTTTCCTTTAACATAAAGAAAAGACAGAAAGAACAAAAAGAAGAAATTGATTCGAAGTTGCAAGTACCCTACCATCATCTTCCCTTGTATATTTTTATAATATCATATTTTGCTTGATTTTCCACCTTTACTCAACGTGTCTTCCAGACATATTAGATGTTACATAAGTGGAACCCATAAAATTTGCTCCATATCAGTGGCAAAAGCCTAAGAGGTCCAACATTTTGTGCCGTTGCCCTTTACACAAAGTCAAATCATCATGATTTTATGTATAAAAGCAATCAAAGAACTATAAAAAAATTTAAAACTAAACCATAACAGTGGTCGAATGTAAAGCCCAAGGTCATCAATGCTATCAGGATACAGGATTCAATGCTCATTGCTGAGCCAAGGTCACCAATGGTTCCCAAAAAGTGATCGAATGGAAAGCCAATAATATGCGAGTTGATCTTCTCGCGTGGCTGCTTTCTTCTATGTTTTTCTGTTTTGCTTGTCCTAATATATAAATAGGAAAGCAATTGTAGCCCTAATATTATATAATTTGAAAGATATTGAATAAAGGAGATAAAATCAAATTTTATTAATAAAGAAAACAAATATAAAATTAAGGATTGAAGAAAATCTGGATGTTATAACAATTAAAATATGAAAATTAATATTAAAAAAAAAGTAAAAGATTCATTAAGGGTATTTAAATAATTTTGTAGGAAATTTAAACATTTAAAATGTTACAACATTCTAATTTTCATTTCTCTCGTAAACTCAGTAAGAAATTGAATTCTATTACGATTGGGTTTATTACAATGGAAAAAGTGCATATTAGTACTGATTTTTAAAATAAATTACAGTTATAACCTTAAATTATTTCATTTTATTTAATTAAAACTCAATTTAAAATTTTAAAATCTATCTTATTAAATGTTGATATTCATATTTGGAAACTGATTATATTAGAATATATAATTGATTTCTAAATCTATATATCAATATTTAATAAAGTGGATTTTTAAATTTTGAATTAGAATTTTAGTTTCAAAATGTTGGTTGAAATTTTAATTTTTTTGAAAGTTGAGACTCATACGCATTGACCTCTATTACAATATTTAATATATATTGTATTTGAATTACTTTTTGATATGTATTTTTTAAAAAGTCCATTAGATATTTATTGAACATTTTTTTTAAAGTTAATGGGTATTTATTAAAGAATTCTTTTTAAAAAAAATTATTAGTACACATTCGATTTAACATACTTTTTCACTCATATTTGGTTCAATTATTAAAAATATAATATAAGTATAGTTGATTTAATTAATTCTTGCATTTTGTTTGCATGAGTGCACTTTTAAGTTTATTTGCTATTAATTTTAGATAAAAAATAATAATTTTTTAATGAATATATTATATAGTGTGTTGAACCAAAATGTATATTGATTAATATCCTTTTTTAAAACTCGATGAATAATTATTTGAGAATTTTAAAAATAATTTTGGTATTACCACAATTTTATATATAACTAAGATTAAGATTCTGATATGACCTTAGATCCGGTTGTAGACCTCCTTGTTGACATTAAGATGGCTTGTCAAAATTTGCCAAAATTTGACAATAGATTTCAAAACCAGCTTTGCATTTAATTTAAATTAGTTAGTAAAAAAACACTAATTGGTACACTCTTTAATTCAACATATTACATAAAATAATTATTAAAAAATTATTATTTTTCAGTTCTAATATAAAATTAAAGGTAAATAAATTTAAAGATATATCTATGTATACAACATGCAGGAACTGATTAAATCGATTGTACTTATATTATATTTTAATTACCAAACCGAATAAGTGTCAAAAAATATATTGAACCGAAAAGTATACTAATCATTTTATTTGCTAAAAAATCAATTACTAATAACTGAAGGAACCTTCTTTATATTTAAGCTATATATTTCTTTTCTTTTCTTTTCTTTTTCTTTTTTAATTTTTAGTTGCATGATAAGAGGTAATACTTTCTCATCTCTTAATTAACCTTACTCGCGTGCTATATAACTTGAATTTAAAATTTTTTATTATAATTGAAAAAAAATATATTATTACTGAGTTATTTAAGTCATTGATTAAACTACATATTTCTTTGTCATATCTTCAATGTGAAATTTTCCCACTCTAGAGGTGGGCATGTTGAACCAGCTAGTCGAACTAGACCCGGTAGCAAAAACAGGTAGGTCACCAAGTCAGGTTTTATCACACTCCCCATTGAGAAAAAAAAAAGCCCATCACCACCTGGTCCAAATTTTTTTTTTTTTATGTGGGGGTGCACACCTGGGTGTTGGATCCGGGTGTGCACCAATCAAGGTCCAAAAGAAACAGCTAACCGGGAAGATGAAGATGATGAGCAGCTAGCCAAAATAATTGCAGGTCCATATTCTTTGGTAGATAGAGAACGTATTGATAGTGGTAACAATAATTATGAAGAAACATAATTCCCTTTACAACAATTAAGAGAAAATGAGAAATTTCAGGTGGTATATAATAAATAAAGTACTTATTATTTTAGTTTTTTTTAAGGGGTTTATTGAATTGACGTAATTTTAAAATAATTTTTTTAAAAATTAAGCAAATGACTACTTAATTTTCCTATATATATATGAGTAGAAATTCATTTATACATAAGTCTTATATATTATTTTTACATAAATATTTTTAATTATTTATCTCTCCACTTTCAATAATTAAGATTTATCATAATTTTTTAGTTAAAAAAAGATAATTATCTTTAATAAATATAATAAAAAGTAAATAAATCTTAATTATAAAAAAAATATTTTAAAATTATGTTATTTCAATAAAGTATCACGTAAAAAGATCAAAATATTCTCACTTTTGCTTAAAAAATAGGTTATTGTAGTATTTTTCAATAAGAGTTTATTAAAATAAAATAATTTTGAAATCTATTTCCTCTTATTTTTTTAGAGTCTTGGCGAACAAATACGTCAATATATATAATAGCATATATCAATCCCAATTCTTATAAAATAAATAAACTTTAAAATGAATTTTTTAATTATTTTATTATTATAGATCATGCATATAAATTTTTAAATTAATTGAATATATATAATTAATTTTTTTGATCAAATAATTATAAATGTTACATTAACTTAAAAATTAAAAATATTTATTAAAAAGTAGAGTTATAATAAACTCAATCATTAAATGATTATAAGTAAAACTTATATTTTAATAAATGTCTATTAGTAGAAAAGCAAAGAAAATAATACATATAATCCCACCAAAGAAGAAATTGGGGAGAGGTATGTGCTTGGCAATTTTTATTAAATAATCTCCTTTTTTTTTTATGGTAAAATAATCTCTTAATTTAATCTCCTCACTTTTCACCGAAGAAATATGTTGAAACAAAAGCATAAAATTAAAGCAACCTGCTTCCCCTGAGCACCCTCTAGAACATTATCATTCCATCCATACTTATCAAAAATGAATATTGAAAATGTTGGAACTCTCTTTCCATCCATACTTATCTAGCATCTTAGCAGTTACTGTGAAAGCATTTATAACAGCAAGGGAGGATATCGCACAGTAAAACATAAATAACCTCTCTAAAACCCTCGCACGTTCTGAATTTTGTATTGCTTGGATTTGGTCTGCTCCGAACGCGATGAAGCACCTAAACCAACTCCAATTGAAATCAAAGACCCTGAAGTGAATAGAAGAGTCAATTCTACTGCTGTTGGGGATATGCAGCTTTGAGTTGAGGGGTTGCAACGGGTCCAATGTTCTGGTTCTGGGATCATTGCTGTTAACTATATTGTACACCAATCCGTTGCTTGCGGCCTTTTGGATTGCGTCATTTACCGCAATTTCACAAGTCAATACATCAAAACCAAGATTCCAAAATGATCTCAATGTATAGTTTACACGTACCTATGGCAATGATGCCACACATTCGTTTGTTTTCGGCGGCTTTTCTGGTTTCTCAATTCCCTATATGATCAATGGTAGTGTCAGAAATAGTTTTTTAGAGGCAAATCAAATTTTTGACTAAAGAAATGGTTCATTTATGCATTAATCGAAAAGTCTACAAAGGAGAAAAATTAAAAAAAGAAGAAGAAGAAGAAAAAATTATTATGAAATAAAATATTTTAGTCTTTAGTGATAAATTAATAGTGATTGGTATAAAGTAGTACAATGTCATCCATTAAAGGAAAAGTGAACATATGTAAGTAAAAGAATACTCCGGTGTAGAAGAAAGTAAAACGTTTATTGAACAAACAAATATCATCATTTCACAGAGTGTTTGTTCAATAATAATAGTAGAGGGAAGACCAGTAGAGGAGCGAAGTGGCTGTACCAGTTGGAAGGGCAGATCTAAGTATGGTGTCGGTGTTGTTTCTTACTTTCTTCATTTGTTGTTAATTTCAATTTTATTTGTTTCCATCTAATCGAGGGATTATCTCGGTCTGTAGGTGTGGATGAAGAGTTTTCAGGGGTGACATTTCGGTTCAACCAGTCGGATGGAAAGATAAAATGATTTTTCCTTTCTCATTTTTCTTTTACAGTCGTTGGTATGAGTTTGGTATCTAAATTCTAAAAGATGGTATATAGATATGGAAAATAAATGAATTAAAAGCATAAAAAGCAACCTGTTTGCCGTCATTCTTCTGTTTTCCCTGAGCCTCCTGCAGAGCATCCTTTAGAACCTTGTTTCTTGCTTTGCCTCTTCTTTCACTCTTGATTTTCTGTTTTTCGTCTCCTCGTCCTTGCTGCCTCATTTCCAGTATATATCCTAACTTTCTCCTGACTCGTTCTTAATTTAATCTCCTAACTTTTCTCCTGACTTCTAATTTAATCTCCTAATTTTTCTCCCGATTGACATGTTCCTAAAGATTGACCTGTTCCTAATGAAATCAATATCTATCAATACCTACTCATACCTATACCTGTACTTACGTTTTAAAAAAAAATTTGAGCAATGCTAGGGGCACTCGCCTCCTGCACTCTCCGGCCAGCACTTTCTCTTTTATTGGGCCACGTTATTTTGGTTTCGAGAGATTGTGCCGGAAAGATTTAAAGAAGCTTACGTGGCCCAATGAAAGGGGAAGTGTTTGCCGGAGAGTGCAAAAAGCGAGTGCCCGTAGCACTGCTCAAAAAATTTAGTTGGATGATTAATCAAAATAGTAGGTAGTGATAGAGTTAAAATGAAAAAATAATTTTTATTTAATAAAATAAAAAAATTATAGTTAATTTAAAATAAATTTAAAATTAAAAATCTTTGAGTACTTATTATACTTATTATTATTATTTATAATTATCCTCTTCTCCAAAATAATAGATATTTTTTTTATTTTATTTCTGAATTAAGAATTTGAAGATAATTTTTAATTTTTATTTATTTTATTCTTAAAAAATTTATATAAATAAATAGCTATTTTAATTAAATGATGGATAATTAAAATTGAGAAACATAAAGTTGAAGTAGGAAAAGGGATTTTGTCTTCCTTAAAATAGACAAAAATAATTATTATTTTAGAATAAATTTTAAATAAAAAATATCTATTATTCTGAGACGGAGCTAATAAATGCTTCCTCAATCCTAAAATAATTGTTATTTTTTATTTTAAATTTTTCTCAAATTAATTTTTTTTTTATTTTTTTAAATTATTTTGATTACTTATCCTATAAAAGAGTCTGACTTTATATTTTAATTTTTTTTGTTAAGAGTAATATGGGTAAATATATGAATTGTCTATAAAAGATTAAAAAAAAAACTTTTTTTCTAAAAAAAATTTATACATATTTTCCTATATATAAAGAAAAGTATTTTATTTAAGAGAAAAAGGATTTTTAACCTATAAATATAAATATATATATATATAGAATTATGTGTACAAGTTCCAATTTTCATTATATTTTAATGAATTTTTTAATCTTTTTTTTTTATTAATCTCTCGATATCCGATAATAATATTGGATTCTGACTAATTTAAAATCGAATCATATTGGATTATATCGGGAAAAACTCTCACAACATCTATTTTTTTATTTATAAAACTTGAACTTGAAATTTTATTTGAGAGGAGTTGAACTCTTTCCACTTGTATCAACATGTAGTTGATTTAATCATTTATTATTATAAAATCAATTTTTAGACTCAATTTTTTCCGAAGAAATATGTTGAAACAAAAGCATAAATTTAAAGCAACCTCTCTCTGAACATGCTGTAAAAAATTATCATTTTATTCATACTTATCAAAGATGAGTATTGAAAATGTAGGAACTCCCTTTCCATCCACACTTATCTAGCATCTTAGCAGCTGCTGTGAAACTATTTATAACAGCAAGGGAGGATATCGCATAGTAAAACATAAAAAATCTCTCTAAGGCCCTCTCATGTTTTGAATTTGAGTTGGCGTCGTTGGCGTGGATAAAGAGTTTTCAGGGATGATATTTCGGCTCAACCAGGAGGATGGCAAGGTAAAATATTTTTCCCTTCTCATTTTTCTTTGTACAGTTGTTGGTATGAGTTTGGTATCTAAAAGATGGAAAATAAATGCTGAACATGAAACAAAAGCATAAAAAGCAACCTATTTTCTCTGATCCTTCTGTAAAAACTCCTTCCTTTCAAGTTGTTGAGCATCCTGTAAAACATCATTCCTTTCAAGCAAGAAGGAATGATGTTCTACAGGATGCTCAAAAACTAGAAAATTTTGCTTGCCTCTTCTTTCTCCCTTGATTTTCTGGTTTTTGCCTTCTCCTCCCTTACTACCTCATTTTCAATAGAATTGTGATATATGGATAATTTTTTTATATTATTTTTTTATACAATTTTTACATATCATTAAATGAGTAGATACACTAAATATCACAAATCTCAAATAAATAAAAAGAGCTAATATACTAAAAGATAATAAAAAAAAGTTGTTTCTAAACCATTTTCTTTTCTAATATATATCCAACTTTTTCTCTTGACTGCTAATTTAATCTCCTAACTTTTCTAAATCATTTTCCTTTCCAATATATATCCAAACTTTCTCCTGTTCCTATTTTGATCACTTAACTTTTCTCCTGACTCCTAATTTAACCTCCTAAGTTTACTCCTGGCTCACCTTTTCCAAAAGAATTTTGTTGAAATGAATCATTCAGGTAAGGAATTTGGTGGTGCTGTGCCGACCATGTGGCGTTTGGATAGTAGCCCAACACCATGTAGTGGGCCTTAAGCCCAAGTTTTTGCTTAGGCAAGAAACAAACTTTGGTGCATAGGACATGCGTCCAATGACAAATGGTCCAATGGGAAGACTCACATTACGTTGGTAACATAAATTGGATTATATATATACCCAACCACAATCAAAATTGAATGTAATTACTCTCTCATTAATTCTCCCTATTCTTTCGTTGAGAGCTTTTAGAGTTGACAGAGGTAGCTGGTATTGGTTCTTTAACACTGCACATTTCTGGGACAAGAGCAGGAAGATATAAGGCTTGACTCGATTACTCCATTGGATTTCTCCAAGAAAGCCAAGAACTTTAGCCCTCTCGAGCCGTTTCTGGGTGTTCTTGGGTTCATTTTGGTCACTTTCCTCTTCATTGGTTGCTTATTCAACTTTCACTACCGTGCCGTCCACTTCCGTGGAGTTCCATGGCTTGGATTCGTTGGGGTTGGATCATCACCGTCATTGTAAGCATCACCGCCACCAACGGTGGCTCTGAATGTGAACGGACGGGTGGGGTCTCTTTAAGAAGATGGCAATAGTAGCGACGTCTATGATGGGAACTGGGTTTGGGGTGATGACTATCTGTTATATCAGAGTCAAGATTATCCCTTTGGTTGTAAATTTTTGTCTGGGATGATGACTTCCGTGGGATAAAGATAATTAATTGCAAATTTGTTATATTTTTTTGTTGGTTAATTAATATTTAATGATAAATTCGTTGACAAACGGAAAGTTTTTAGTAGAAAATTTTATTTGTCTTGCAAGTTATTGAGAAAAAAAATGCAAATTGCAAAGGGTTTTAGAAAGTATGTTTACTCAATTACCCCTATTCTCAAAATGATCATTCAGTATAATTTTAATTTTTTTTTCTTTTATTTATCTGACTAACGTAACATATTCATTAATGCCAATCCATTATACAACACAGATTCTATCAATGCAATGTAGTTGGGCTTTCATACTCATCCGATTGAATCATCTTTTACATAAAGGTAAATCTTTGCCAGGTAGATAAGTAGATAACAAGTTATAAATTTGGCTTTGGTGAGACTTGTATTTCTATTACTATAAAATTTATAAATGAAATAATGAAATAATTAAACTTGTGAAGAATGGAAAGTTTTATAAAAATAAAAAATATAAAGTATAAATTGTATATAAAACATTTTTTTTAAAGTCATTTTAACATCATATTAAATTTAAGAATTTTTTAAGAAAAATTTACTCAATAATTTTAGATTTACAGATACAACTTTTACAACAAATTTTTTTAAGCAAAACCTCTATCAAAATTAAGCTCTAAGTACGCTAAAAGGGCTCTCAATCTCATAACTTTTCCTCAAACAAATATGTTGAAACGAAAGCATAAAAAGCAACTTGTGTTTTCTGAGCCTCAGGGAGATCATCATCCCATCCATACTTATCAAAGATGAATATTGAAATTGTTGGAACTACAAAACCTACTTTCCCTCCATACTTGTCTAGCATCTGAGCCGTTGCTGTGAAAGCAATTATAACAGCAGGGGAGGACATCGCATGGTAGAACATAAAGAAACTCTCTAAGACCCTCTGACGTTCTGAATTTCTTATTGTTTCTATTTGGTCTGCTCCGAACGCCAAATGAAGTGAATAGAATAGTTAATTCTGCTGCTATTGGGGATATGCAGCTTTGAGTTGAAGGATTGCAATGGTTCCAATATTCTGATTCTGGAATCATGGCTGTTAATCATAAAAGAAACATCCGCTGTACAATTCAAAATTCAGCTTCGTTCCTTTCAAGCTGTAGAGTATCCCCTAGAATCTTGCTTCTTGCTTTGCCTCTTGTTTCTCCCTAGATTTTTCTGTTTTTCGCCTTCTCCTCACTATCCCAGTTCAAAAGAAACATCCCCTGTACAACTCAAAATTCAGCATGATTCCCTTGAAATAAGCATCGGCAATCCATGCAGTTCAATTTAACCATGTGGTGCAAGGCATAAGTGCAATAATTTTTAAGACCTCTAGCAAAATAAGCAAATATATTATATTCCGGTGCAAGGCATATTACTGGTGTGATCCCTACAAAAAGAATTACCTTTTTCAAGTATGATAAAGTGTAACAGATAAATAAATGGATGGATAGGTTAAAGGAGAAAGGTTTTACCCAAGATAAAAAAATTTTTTAGCACAAGAAAAATGGTGTAACCATCAAATGAAGGCTTAATGATTTTATGCATAAGTCCCACATAAAAGATAATTGTACCTTTATCTTGGTCTAGGTAAACGAAAACAAAGAACCAACAGATGTTAAGCAAGTTTCATAAAGATACAGAATGCTAGGGAGAAGAAATGTGTATATTATTATTATTGTTTTTTTGGTACATAAAAATGTGTATATTATTATAAAATATAGAGTCAAAAATAATTTTTTTAAGGAGGCAAAACAAATCTTTGACTAAGAAATGGTGCATAGATGGAAAATAATGCAGAAAATGAAACAAAAACATGTATAAAAGGCAACCTGTTTTCTCTGAGCCTCCTGCAGAACATCATTCCTTCCAAGTTGTTGAGCATCCGTAGGACATCATTCCTTTCAAGCAAGAAGGATGTTCTACAGGAGGCTCAACAACTTGAAAGTCTTGCTTTGCTTCTTCTTTCTCCATTTTCGGTTTTTCTTCTTCTCCTTGCTGCCCCACTTCCAATATATATCCTAACTTTCTTTTGACCTGTTCGGCTATTCCTAATTTAATTTCCTAACTTTTCTCCTGATTCCTAACTTAATCTCCTTATTTTTCTCCTAACTGACTTGTTCCTAAAGAAATCAATGCTTATCAATTACTTAACTTATGAAGTAAATTAAATTATTAAATTAAATTAAAATTAAATTATTATATTATTATGAATAAAAATACCTAACATATCTTGATTTTTTTAAAAAAAATTTAAAGTACAAATTTTAAAATCTAACTCAAACTTCGATAAATTTATCTTATTAAATATTAATATTTAAATTTTGTTTATCCAAAAAAAATCTAAATTTAAAAATTTTTAAATCCTACCATCTTAAATCTAATTGAAAGAGCATCTGTTATGAGATTGCATCTAATTTTAAAGTCTTCTTCAAAATCCTACTACCTTAAATCTAATCTAATAAAATGTGAAAGTGGCACCAACATAAATTCGATGTGAATCTTACGCTGTTTCAATTGTTTTGCTGGGTTTGGGCCTACTCTATGTTCGTTCAATCGTTCGCCTTTTATTGAAGGCCCTCCAATCCCTAAACGGTTGAACCGCGGTGGGAGTGCATCTACCATCTCAATGTCGATCCATTTCTCTCTTTCTCTTTAATAGTTTTATTACCGACATTCAGCAGGTCCCCTTTCCCTTTTTCTTTACTTTATTGGGGCCAGAAGGGCCATGATCATCTTATCAAAATCGTTACCACTCATTTTACTCTATAGTCATAATAATAATCTTCACCAAGCAAAAACAAGTTCATTGTTTAAGAAAGTTAAACAAGGTGCATCATAGAATTGGATCAGTTTCTGTTTAATGTTGGAGTCTGTAGTCCAATTTCAAAAAGAAATTTAATTGCTTCGAATGTATGTAGTTGAAATAAGATATGCCTTAAGATTATTTAAGAGAGATTTTTTTTTTTTTTAGTATGGACCACTCAGTATCCGAAAGTCCACTGGGCCATTGATTAATTTGGATTCGAGTCAAGTAAGACCTAATGGACAACAAAATTCTTCATCACGAGTTTTTAACGGAATTACATTCTTAGAGTTTGAAACAAAGACCTCTGATTAAATTGAAAAAGTTCCCGACTAACTTATCCACTCATGTGTAAGTGTAAAATTATTTAAGAGATGAATCTCAAAAAGTATATATATATATATATATATATATGCTTGGCTGAATACGGAACCATATAAACTAAAACACAAAATGCATCATAATTAAACTTTAGTCCTCTGTAAATGCTTCAACAAGTAGAAGTTTGAAACTATAAATTATGTTCACTTAGCTTAGAAGACCAATTAGTTATAAACCTTAAGTGCATCTCCAATCTTAAATGCTGAATTTAAATTTCCTCCTCTAAATTTGTACATGTTAATATATATATATATATATATATTATGTAATGGGCGGAGAGGTTGATGGACTTGGACTTCTATTTAAGTTTAGCATGAGGCCCGAAAAGAAAATCCAAAAGTTAATAACGACCCAGCTCGGCGGCGATCTAAAATCTACCTTGTCGATCCATTTTTATCTCAGTATCCATAATCCAGCCCTAAGAAAAACAAAATAATGACCTAATAATTAATACACTAGTCTCAAAATGATATTGTCATTTCGACCTAATTATAAACATTAAAAAAGACCTAAATTATTAAAATCTTCCCTTAATAATAAATAAATACTTAATAGTCTTTTACAATAAATATTTTTTGATTTAAAATTTGTGTAAGAATGATAATAGATGTTTTTCCATATTTTGACAATACGGGAGTAGGAAAATTTTTTTTATTTGACTATCAAAAGAATTAGAAGGTGGGGGAAGGATAGGAAAGAAAAGAAAAGGTTAAATATCAATATAGTCCCTGAAATTTTAAATTTATACAAAATATGTCCTTCAACTTCTATAAATATTAAAATTGTCCTTAAACTTTAATTCTTAATACCAATTTCATCCTTTTGAAAGTTAATGTTGACATGGCAAGTTTTTTCCGTCAAGTAATTCAGTTTCTTTTAGTATTTAATATTAAGTGGAAATTAAGAAGGTGATTTGACAGTTTTTAATTCATGTGATAATATTTGAATTAAATGGCATGGACCTAATTTAAATAGCTATTAAATAAACATTTTAAATTACTTTAATGTCCCTAGTTATCTTCTTCCCCAACCTCCAAATCTCATTTCTCCTGATTTGTTGTTGGTTAAATACCTAATTTAGTCTTTCAATTTTTATTTTTGAACCAAAATTTATCCTTTTTTAAAAAATACTAAAAATATCGTCAAATTTTAATTTTTAAGACCAATTTAGTCTTTCCATCAATTAAGCACTAAGTAAAATACTGACTATGAAAAAAATTCAAATTTCTTTATTTAAAATATTACATGAAAAATAAAATTTGTAATTTTAAATTACATGCTTACTCAAAAATTGTATGTAGACTAAATGACATGGAACAATTAATAGCTTAAAAAATAACAAAATAAGTTATTATTAAATTACACATTTACCCCTCCCCATATCTTCTTTCACTCCTATTCTCCTCTCCTCTCCTATTCTCTTGTAACTTGATCCCTTCTCTTTTCTTTGATTCTTCACTTTTTCCTTATCTGTTGGCCCGTTGCTTTTCCTCCATTCCTCTTCCTTTCTTTTTCTTCCTCCTTTCTCCTTCCTTTCTTTCTCTTCCTCCATTCTCATTCATTCTTGTTCTTTCTCTTCCTACCACTCCATCAATTCCCCTTACTTCTCCGTGGCAAAGAACCCAAAAAATCTGGGTACTCATCACACGGTTTGGGTACTCATCACCTACTAGTAACCATTGATTTCATCCCAATTGGACCTAGCTTTCTTTTTTTGTCATATTTGAATTTTTTTTTTTTTTTTGGCTCCAGCCAAGACTTGGATCTGAACTCTTGGATCCCAAGAATACTAGACTACTTAATCCCTCACCCTACCAAGAAAAACCCCTCGTTTCCCCCTGTCACTGTAGCCCTCCTTCCTCTAAACTAGCACCAAAACTAGCACCACCATTTCAATTTCTTCCCCACAGATATCCACATTGCTGGAATGTTGAGGTAAAGGGATTTGAGATTAACTAACCTAGAAGATGAGGGACTTATTATGCAATTGAAAACAGGACAAGTAATCTTGAATTTTTTAGGTTTCAAATGATTTTTTTTCCCCGTCTTTCTACCTATACTTACCATATCCTTCTAAATGTTTGGTTGAATCTCTCTCTTATTTTGTAGATGGGCAAAGTCAAGCTAGATCTGCAACTAAGATTTGAAAAGAAATGATGGATTTTTCTGTAGGTGCAAATATGAATGACAACAAAGGATTTATGAGATTAGTTCATAAATAGGGTTTAATTATCTCTGCATCTATGTTCTTTTTATTTTTTTTATTGTTATTTAATTTTCTCAACAAATTTTGAAATGCTAGTCTCAATCCCATGGACGGTCATATCTCAAGGAGATTGGCTTTCTTTGAGAAGGGGATTCGTGATTTTTCTAGGGCATTAATTTTTCATTCTTCTTTTCGGTATTTGCTGGAAATTGTTATCTAGTTCTTTGGTATGTTCTTGGGCATTTTTTCTTCAATTGCTTTTTTTCTAGAAATTGTAAGGAGGGATTTAATTCTTGATTCAAATTTGAGAAAGTTTGAAAAACTTTCTTTATCAGTGTTCATGTTGCCGGAGAAGAAGAGATGTAGGGGCAAAGAACCAATGATGCTCTAGGTTTTTATTTTTAATTAAATCTTTCATTAAGTCATTTGAATAATTAATTAATGATTAATTAATTTGTTAATAATTCCTTAGATAAGGATTATAAATTTAAATGAAATATATGGGCTCATTCTAATTTAAATTTTTTGTTGGTGAAATAGATCCATTACACTACAATAACGCCACTATAGGTTTTGATATGGGCAACCCACGTCAGCTAAAAAAAAAATGTTTTGAATTTGCCACATAAGTGGGCTTAACGGACAAAACAATGCCACTTCAGATTTTATTAACAGGAGGACCAAAATGGGACTGAAAATTCAAGTTTAAGGACTATTTCAGTACTTTTGAAAGTTTAAGGATAAAAAAGGGTACAAAATTCAAAGTTTAGGGACCACTTTTTTAGTATCTTAACCTCATCTTTAGTGATTAATTCAGAAATTTGTAATCTTCTTCAACCTCGCCGTATCCTCTGTCATCTTTTCTCGAGAAAGTATGTGTAAATGTGTAATCCTTTAGTATTAGAGCATTATGTTGAGGAACAGATGGAAATCTTTCTTACAATTTCTACTATTTCCCTTGTATTTTCTGTAGAGGAATTTATGGAGAGCTAATCTGGCTGTCCTTATTTTTCTCACCTATCTTTCATTTTATCTGTATCACAGAATCAAGGGTTTCAATCACGGAGATTCTAGGGTTTCTGCTTCTCTTCTAAATTCTTTCCTGAATCCCTAATTCTTCCTTTCAAATCTCCTTTTCTGGTTTGGTTGCTATCAATCTCTCATCCTTCTCATCTGGTAAAGAAGTCGCCGCCTTAATCTAGAGAACTCCGGCCGCCTCAGAGTCACTCGATGGGTTCGAAAGAAGCAGACCCGAATCTCGGGTATTTGACCCGGAAGGATACCGAGGTGAAGCTGCCTCGTCCTACCCGCGTCAAGAACAAGACGCCGGCGCCAATTCAGATTACTGCGGAGCAGATTCTTCGGGAGGCACGGGAGCGGCAAGAGGCAGAGATTCGTCCTCCCAAGCAAAAGATTACCGATGCCACAGAGCTAGGTGATTACAGACTCAGGAAAAGGAAGGAATTTGAAGACCTAATTCGCCGTGTACGGTGGAACATCAGCGTCTGGATCAAGTATGCGCAATGGGAGGAGTCTCAGAAAGACTTCAGCCGTGCTCGGAGCGTCTGGGAACGCGCTCTGGAGGTGGATTACAAGAACCATACTCTTTGGCTCAAGTATGCGGAGGTGGAGATGAAGAACAAGTTCATTAACCACGCCCGCAATGTCTGGGACCGTGCCGTCACCCTTCTCCCTAGGGTGGACCAGCTGTGGTATAAGTACATTCACATGGAGGAGATGCTGGCAAACGTTGCCGGAGCTCGACAGATTTTTGAGAGATGGATGTCCTGGATGCCGGACCAGCAAGGCTGGCTCTCCTATATCAAATTTGAGCTTCGGTACAACGAAGTGGATCGTGCTCGAGCCATTTATGAGCGTTTTGTTCAATGCCACCCCAAAGTTGGGGCTTGGATAAAGTATGCTAAGTTTGAGATGAAGAATGGAGAAATTGCTCGTGGCAGGAACGTGTATGAGCGTGCAGTCGAGAAGCTGGCTGATGAAGAGGATGCAGAACAATTATTTGTTGCTTTTGCTGAGTTTGAGGAGCGGTGCAAAGAGACTGAGAGAGCACGGTGCATTTACAAGTTTGCACTTGATCATATACCCAAGGGGAGTGCAGAGGACTTGTACAGGAAGTTTGTAGCATTTGAGAAGCAGTATGGAGATAAGGAGGGGATTGAGGACGCCATTGTGGGGAAGAGGAGGTTTCAATATGAGGATGAAGTGAGAAAGAATCCACTGAATTATGATGCCTGGTTTGACTATATCAGGTTGGAAGAAAGCGTGGGAAATAAGGAAAGAACACGGGAGGTTTATGAGAGAGCCATTGCTAATGTGCCTCCTGCTGAGGAGAAGCGATACTGGCAAAGATATATTTACTTGTGGTAAGTTTGCCTTGGCTCAATTACCTTGGATTGGCTTCCATTTGCTTCCATTTGCCTGTGCATTGTGACGCCAACTTCTTGTGCGTTTGAAAACCAGGATTAATTATGCTTTGTATGAGGAGCTTGATGCAGGAGATGTGGAAAGGACACGGGATGTTTATAGGTACAGTTTTTATTGCATGAACTCGCTACTATGTTGGTACCGTGGTTGCTACTGTTGCTCTACTGCATGTTCAAAATTATATTTTGCTCTGTAGCCTGCCAAATTAACACATTAGATAATGTGCTTACTGTTAGAATGTTGAAGCTCGTTGCTTTCTTGCCCTATATTTATACCTAAATCAGCTGTGGCCTGTTGATTCTGGTGAGGATCTCACCCATTTAGAAGTAGTCAGTCTTTATAAGACCTGTCTGGTTACATGTTGTGCTCTGTGGAAAGATCCTTGCAGTCCACTTTAAATTCATACTACCATCTAATGGACAGACAGATTTATAGATTTAGGTTGTGTTGAGACACATGCATAGTTACAGCCTTACACTCATAATTGTACTCATGATAGGTTGTGGCAGGGTAAGTAAAATAGGATCAAACTTGAACTTTATTGTTTGGTGAACGAAGATGATCTTTTTCATATTATTGTATAATTTCTTTACATCTCTTTTCTCTTGCACTCACATTGCTCATTCCTATGAAACACTTTTCTGTTTTAGTGTAGTTTTTTCAAGCCTTGAATATTTTCTCATTCATATAAAACTTTTTCATTTTTCAGGGAGTGTCTTAACCTGATTCCCCATGAGAAATTTTCATTTGCAAAAATTTGGCTGTTGGCTGCACAATTTGAAATACGGCAGTTAAATCTCATGGGTGCACGGCAGATTTTGGGCAATGCTATTGGAAAAGCACCTAAGGATAAGGTAATATCCAGCATGATGCTAAAAGTTCTATTGATTCTATTATCTTGAGAGGATATCTTCTTAAATGTTGGCTTCTTTACAGATCTTTAAGAAGTACATTGAGATAGAGCTGCAGCTTGGGAACATAGATCGCTGCAGAAAATTGTATGAAAAGTATCTGGAGTGGTCACCTGAGAACTGTTATGCATGGAGTAAGTATGCTGAGTTAGAGAGATCTTTGAGTGAAACAGAGCGTGCTAGAGCAATATTTGAGCTTGCCATCAGCCAGCCGGCCCTAGATATGCCAGAGTTGTTGTGGAAGGTATTCTGTTAATTTTACAGTTGACTTCTTTTTTTTTTTTTTTTTGTGAGGCACCATAATATCTTTGTAGCTCTAAGTGGTTGTGACTATTACATATTTGATTGGTATACCTGATTTTCTGATCATAAACAGTGTATTACATAGGGGTTAAAATTTGGCTTTAAAAAATGCTTGCATGTTAAAAGCTTTTCACCTTACAGTTTTAAAATTGAAATGGATGTTCTGTCTCTGAATAATTTCCCATTCAAAGAAATTCTGACTTTTAAGTTGATCCTTCTTGAATCTTCCATGGTGTCTTATTGTTATTCTTATTTGATTGTTCTGTCAATATCTTATGTGGATAGAAGTGTTAATACCATCTTCATTTGTGTGGCTAACTATAGCTAACTAGTTTTTGAGGATTAGATGACAATGCTCCTTCATGCAAAACTTATCCATTTTTTCCTTTTATCGAAAACCACTGATTTATCTTGAATTGGAGGTGAGATGAACACAGTAGAAAGGGGTTAATGATGATTTTGTTTCATTAATATAGGCATACATTGATTTTGAGATGTCTGAAGGCGAGTTTGAACGAACAAGAGCATTGTATGAGAGACTTCTAAATCGCACAAAGCACTTGAAAGTGTGGATCAGTTATGCAAAATTTGAGGCATCTGCTATGGAGGAGAATGATGGGGATTCAGATATGTTGGAAAATGGTGTTCAGGAAAATCATCTTAAGCAGAAAGAAGAATGCATTCAACAGGCAAGAAGTGAGTCATGATTTTCCTACCCTCCACATTTTTGTTATTTACAATTCTTTTTATATAAGAGATCATTGTACTTCTATTACTATCAGAACAAACACTCAATGTTTTATTCTTAATCAGGAGTTTTTGAGAGTGCAATTAGCTACTACCGTACATCTGCACCTGAATTGAAGGAAGAACGTGCTATGCTTCTGGAAGAGTGGTTGAACATGGAAAGCAGTTTTGGGGAGCTTGGTGATGTCAGCATAGTACAGTCTAAGTTGCCAAAGAAACTCAAAAAGAAGAGGCAGATAACAAGTGATGATGGTGTGGTTGGGTATGTAACCTACTTGCTTTCAATTTATTCTTGTCAATTGATTTTTGTTGTTTTAGTGCCATCAGTAGCTTTGATTGTGTTCTGGAGTCAATTCAGTTATAACTAGGGTCTGGGTCTTCATGAGCACTTCAAAAACTGTCATTCTTTATGGTGCTACTTGTTGAACTTTCTTGGAAGAATTGAGCAATTTCTCCATGAACCTAAGCAATTTATTTGTTCAACAGATACGAAGAGTACATTGACTACATGTTTCCTGAAGAAACCCAGACCACAAATCTCAAGATCTTGAATGCTGCTTACAAATGGAAGAGGCAGAGAACTGCTTATGATGAGGATGATTAGCATCAGGCTGTTAGATATTATAAAAGATGAGTTTCATCTCATGTATTACATTAGATCCATAGCCAAAACTGGTATTTACTCACTTAAATGAATTTTTAACCTCCCTCTGTGTTCTTTGTGCTTGTAATTTTAACTTTTACACCCAAACAAAATTTTGATTTCCCTCTTCTGCAAACTTTTATTGACATGTCTCCAAATCTCTAGTAATGCTAATATACTCTAGCGTTTGCGCTTGCAGTGCTTCTAGTAACAGGATTTTAAAATGTACTTTCAATGTTGCCTTTT